TGTGACTATCACTCACTTTATAATTTTCCTCCCAGTGAAAAATAAGACAAGTACTTTATTTCCTTTATTATTGTATCCATGGTGTCCTACGTGTAGTTGGCCCTCAGTGCAAATTTGTTGAAGGAATCATGATGAATGATTGCGATAATCCTTATTGTTTTCATCTTATTCACTATGCTTACCATATCTTCTCCAACCCCTTTAACATCATAATCGTCATCTTCACCATTATCAATACCAACATCATCATCCTTTCATCATAACCTCTCCTGCGTCAGTGGTGCTTTACGGTTCTCATGGTGCCTTCCCATCATTGTCTGCTCAGGTATTCTGAGCTCTCCTCCTTGTTCTCAGGTGAAACAGGCATGGGAGAATTATTATTATCAGTCCACGGATGAGGCAGTTTACCAAAAAAAGGTAAATTAACTTGCTTAGTCACTGTCTGGAGCAGGAACAGAACCTCAGCCTTTTCTGGTTCTGGAATAGATCATATTAGGGCTATACTCTTCTTTCCTACAGTGATCACAAGCATGATGATTAATGTGATTATTTATATAATCACGTTATATAATCAATTTATATAAGCCTTGTTGGTTTCTATGTCATGGTACTTATGATCTACTCTGCCTTGAGCAAGGCTTATTTGTAAGTGGCTTTTGAAGCAAAGTGTTTTCTTCTATTTTTCCCTTATAGCACTTTACATGATGCGTGGCATGTGGTAGGCAATTAATATTTATTGAAGGACTACCTTAGTCTATCCCTGCTGCTCTAACAAAATGCCACATACTCGGCAATTTATAGATAATAAAAATGCATTTATCACAGTTCTGGAGGCAGAGAAGTTGAAGGTCAAAGTGCCAGCAGATTCAGTGTCTGGTGAGGGCTGCTCTTGGCTTCCAAGATGGCGCCTTATTGCTGTGTCCTCACATGACAAAAGGCAGAAGGGCAAAGGACCTAGCTGGCTCCCTCCAGCCCTTTCATAAGGGCACTAATCTCATTCAAGAGGGTGGAACCCTCATGATCTAATCACCTCCCAAAAGCCTCACCTGCTAGTATAATCATCTTGGTAATCAGGTTTCCACATATAAATTTTGAAGGAACACATACATTCAATCCATAGCAAGGACCAAATGGCATGTAAATCCTCCATGATATAGCCTCTAGCTTCCTCTTCAGTCTTTGCATGCCCACAGCTCAGTGTTGTAGCTTAGAGGAACTCTCTACATGTCCTGAGCAGTCCTGGCTTTCTGCACCTGGTTTTTGCACACTGATCTGCCTGTCTGAAATACTCTCTCCAGTACCCCTTGGCCTCTGTCCCAATCTGCCAATTTGATAGAGGCTTTGCAGGCTCTCCCAGCTCAAATTGACCACCGTTCCCTTGGGTGATGACTATACTCTGTCACAGGTCTTCTACAGCCTCTTTGGAACATTAATACATATGACAGACTGTAATCCCCTAGAGGGCAGCAGGCATGCCAGTATTGTTGTATCACTGTACCCCAGCATCTTGCAGTAACTGGGACTAGCAGGTAGCATTTACAGAATGCTTACTCTCTGCCAGCCACCAGGTTCGTTGATTTATGTGGGTTATCTCATTTAATTGTCATAACCCTCTGAAATAAGTGTCATTATTGCCTACATTCTATAAATGAGAAAGGTACAGTATCATTAAATAAGAAGCCAAAGCCACTCCTCTAATAGTATCAACAAACAAATGACCACATTTAGTTTTTCCATATATAAATCTGTCCTTGAATCCTTAGCACCTAGTCAGGCATATAAAAAAAAGTTTAATAGGTGTGGAATGTGAATTACATAAATAGAAAAATTATATTAAATGATTTCTAATCTCCAACTCATTTTGTTCTGTGCTTGATTTTCTTGGGAAAGATATTGTATTTGCTCAATGAGGGTATTGAACATGTAAAAATTGCTAAAATAGATTGTTAACATTCTCACCACACACAAAATAATAGATTTGCAAAGTGATGGATATGGTAATTAGCTTGATTGAGTCTTTCTCTAGTACATACATAGATCAAGCATCACATTGTACTCCATAAATCTATGCAATCATTATTTATCAATTAAAAATGAATGGATAAAAGAAAGGGAGACTATTTTCAGTGTTCTTAACAACTCTCTCTGTACCTGTTCTGGTGGGAAGATGTGCTGGGTGGCATTCTCCACAAAGTAGTATGATTAACGTGGCTTTCTTTGCTTAATGCATTTCCTGTCTTAAAAGGTGGCCCAGCAGCAAGTCCTAATCACAGGGGTTGTGTGCCATTTCCTAGCCCCTTCTCAGGCCACCTTCACATGAATATAATCTGACTAAGAAGGTGGCATTACCCACACAGGATGCCTACTTCAACATGTTTACCCAAGTCACAAAACCTCTTGCCTGTTTTCTTCTTAGAGTTTCGCCTAAGAAAAATGGCTTCTTACCAAACTCCCCAAACCCAAAATTATAACCACAATTTCCTTATGTCTGGGGTACTGTTTTCAAAGTTGCAGAATAAAACAAATGCACACAGGGGTAATTTTTTTTTTTCTCCTGACCCCTGGGAAAATCAAGAAGGCTTCAGAACTTAGATCAAAGAGAATGGATTTACCTGCCTTTGTCTTTGCTACCCGCAAATAGGGATCAGATCCCAACGGGGACTGTGAAGGAGCAGGAGGTGTCAAGTCACTGAAGACTCCCTTAGCTCACTTCACTTTCTTTTCTGTAGGGCACGTCTCCCAGAAGGTCTGTCCAGAATACCTGTTTCTTTTGGATTCTGCTTGTTTTGATAAGATTAGTTTTTATGCTAAACCTGGAAGCGGAAGGGCTGGGGTGGTGTCAGGAGAGACTGGCCCTTTATGCTAGTTTCCTATTATGACTAGTAATGGTGTGGAGAAATCTCCCCAGCAGTTTTGTTCTGCTAAAATTTCTCACTTTTAAATGTCAACAAGGAAGAGTTGTAGGGTGGGGAAGAGATTCTGGCAAAGCTTTAACTTTTGAAGAAATCACAGCATCTCAGGCCTGACCCCAAGCTTCCTGGAGTTCCTTTCTCCTGGAGGACAGAGTGAAACTCATAGACTCTGCAACCCCAAGAGTGTACATACTACATGGCTCACTGGAGTGGGCCACTGACTCAGGCAATTAACTCCCCAAAAGCTTTACAACTTCCACTTCTATGGTCAACAATTAGCATCTTAATGATTATGCTCTTCTACAGACCATGACTTGACAACTCTGAATTGTGTGTACAACCTCCAATGGGTCGTAAGGGGGAAAATGCGTTTGTCACAGCTAAGCTTCTATATATTATATTAATACTGGCAGGTGCCAGTGTGTTGGGTTGCAGGATTTGACTTGTGCATCAAGCTTTGCCTGCTGTCTTTCAGCGGAGAAACAACACTTAGGGCAGTCACCCTCTTGTGCTGTTGGTATCATCTGCATGTGAACCACTTGAAGCCCTTGCTTAACGTAGCTTTGTGGGTCCACACTGCAGAAACTCAGAATTGGACTCTCTGAAGGACTGACTCAAGAATCTGAATTTTACAAACGCTCCAAAAGTAAAGTTTGGCAGTGACTGAAGTACCCCAAGCTACTGAGGACTGAGTGTCCATGAGCTTTTGTGTTGTAAAACTCTGGATTTTTTTTTCATTATTCATTGGCTGGAGGAAATTGACTCCCAGCTTTAATATGATTTGAAATAATGTATAAATTTCTTAAACTGTATTACTTTTGCATTTATTCTGTAACACATACATTTATTGAGCACTTTCTGTGTGTCAGGAATAATGCCAGACGCCTGGCTACAAAGAGGAATAAAACATGAATTCTTATTCATGAATTCAAGGAACTTTTAATTTCTTTAGAATGAAAGGAACTTCTAATCTCTTAAGAAAACAAGTATGTACAATTAGGTGCTAGAGGAGCTATGAAAGAGGTCCACATGGATAAAATGGAAACAGAAAGGAGAGAGTAATCAATTCTACCTGGGGAACATGGTGGTGTCATAAATATTTTCACATAAAGAAAGATGTATAAGTGTTCACCAAGCAGATAAGTTAAGAGAAAGATATTATTCTAACCTGATGGAGCAAAGACATAAATTCTAAAATAACAAGACAGGTTCTGGGAACTGAAGGTAGGTCAGCATAGCTGGAAGGCAGGATGATAGGTGAGGAAGGAGAACAGAGTAAGAAATTATCCCTAAGAGATAAGGAGGAGGCAGATCATAGTTATCCATGGTAAGGAATTTGCAATTTAGTCTCTAGGTTAGTTTTCTCAAAGTGTAGACCTTGGGATTTCCACATTAGAAAAACCCAGCTGAATCAGAATTCCCAGAGGTGGGGTCTCATCCTACAGATTTTTACAAGCATCCCAGATGACCAGTATACCAAGCCTGGTATCTACTGTTTTATAACATGGAGCCCCTGGAGGCTTTTGTGCAGGGAAGAGAAATGATTAGAAAGACTATTCACTGGGGTGGATGATAAGTTAGTTGGACTGATTGGCAGCTAGTTAACAGATCACGGAAATCCTCCAGGTGAGAGATGACAGAGGGTTTAGCTAAAGTAATGTGCATCTTGGGTATGAAGGGTGGGAGATGACTTGAAAGGTGTGCTAAGAAGGTCGGATTTATAGGACAGAGTCTAAATAGAAAATAAAAGAATTCTGAGAATATAGTGAAGTCCGGTGCAAAACACAGTGTGTGTGGGAAGTTTTAGCCACTTTTCTGAGGTCGTGTCTATTTTATATGACAAATGAAGTTGTCTTTCATCAGGACTTCCTTTGTATGGGCAGACACCTTTTTCATTCTTATGTAAGCATATGTTCACAAACATCACACACAAGTTTGAATAGCTACAATTATTTAATAACAATTACAAGCAGGATTGTGGATAGTGAAGGCAACTCTGTTTTCTCAGAGACATAATTCTGCATCACACACATAGTAATAGTATGGTTGAGATATTGCCATTCATTTATATATTTGTTTTGAAAATAGACACAGAGAAGAGAGAATGTTTTCTGACATAGGCGTGTCTGCAGGATGGCAGGCTGTCACCACAAAGAAGAAAACCCACCAGTATTGGAAGACTTCCCTTTGCTCATGGAGTTTGCTAGATTATGCTGCCCTGCAGGTTTCTCCTATGTAAGTGCATTTGCTGTATATTTCTAAAAGACCAGCCTTCATGCAGGAATAAAGAAAAATGTATTAAATAACCCTATGATAATCAGAAATTGTTCTGGAACCTACAAAAGTCACTAACCTACTTCTCTGGTAATTAAATTGAAACCACCAAGATCTGGCATCTACTTAATTTTGTCTTTCCTTCTAAGATCTGCAAAATTAGAAAGTGTTCTTAATCCCTCTTCAGAGAGAGGAGAGAGTTTCACTAGTATCCCTGTCTGGAGGGGAAAGAGGAGTTAGCACCTACTTCATTCTCTGTTGTCTATTACTACATGGTACTGCAACTCCTGGGGACATCAGGAAGGGACTATACTACCAATCAAAGAGTTTAGTCTATGGTTAAGAGCATGGACCTGGACTTGAATCTCATTTGTGCTGGTTGCTGACTGTGTTGGGTTGGCAGTCTGTTCGTTTCTCATCTGTAAGATGTGGATATTTATTCCTGTTTCATAGGGCTACTCATTCATCTATCAACCCATTTATTTAACAAATACTTATTAATCACTCATTTCATAAATGACAAGATGACCACACAAAAAAGATATAGTTCCAGTACTTGTGGTAGTTTAGATTCTATTGCAGGGAGGAGGGCCATAAAGCAGGTAAACATAGAATAATATATCAGATGGTAATAAGTGCTGAGAAGCAAAGCAAAACAAAGTTAAAAAGAAAAGATGAGAAACAAGGTGGTCCTTTTGGAAATCAGGGTCAGGTGAGCATTTCTCAGACTGTAACATCTGGGCAGAGACCAAGGCACTGCAGTGCAAGTTCAAGGTGGTAACCTGGCAAATATTTGGGAGAAGCTGTTCCAAGGAGAACGGACAGCAAAGGCAAAGGCCCTGAGGCACAAGGCTGCACACATTTGAGGATCAACAGGGGCAGTGCCTCCAGTAAGGAGTGGCTGGAGCAAAAAAGTGACCAAGGGAGAGAGGAGTCACTCTTCCCTCTGCCTAATCAGGCAGTTCTCCATTAGCTATCTGGGAGAAGAAACTTCTAGACAGGGAGAACAGTGAGTATCTAGGTTCTCAGGCAGGAAGGTATTAGAATGTTCCAGGCTGGGGTGAATTCACCAAGTTAGAAACTGGTATGAAGCAAGATCAGAGTGATGAGAGGGCCAGATCATGTAGGACATCTGAAGCCAAGGCAAGGACTTTGGATTTTGTTCTGAAAAAGAGGGGATCATTGGAACATGCTGAGCAGAGGAATGAAAAAATTGGATTTACACTGTGATGGGATCATTCTGGTTTTAAAATAGACAATAAACTGTAGGGGCAAGTTTGAAAACTGAGCACTCAGAAAGGAGGCAAAAGCAATAATTCAAGTAACAGATGGTGACTCAGTCCAGGTGCTGGCAGAGGAGGTGGTAAGGGTGAAAAGTGGTCATATTCCAGATACACTTCAAAACTAGAACTGGCAAGCTTCACTGATGTATTGAATGGGAGGTGACAGCTTTGATTGATAGCTAGCATCCAGCATGCATGGCCTGTAGTCACAAAGGAAAGTGTTCTTCCCCTAAAGGATTATGACACGGAAGAGATTTTACTTATTTTTATTTTACAAGGATATGGTGAGGGGAAACTTGAGAAAAGGATCTGGATTCCAGAACCTGGGGCTCTGTCATTGGAAATGTTTGCTGTGAGTCATCATGGTTGCTCTCCTTGACCCAAAGAACAGTAGGCTCCTTGTCTTCCGGCAGAAACACAAACAAGTCCCTTTGCCTTCTTCACACGAACATTTGTTACGTCCCTGTCCTTCTCTTAGCTTTAATTCAAACTAAATCTTACCCAGGGAAATTACAAGGACCTTCCAGCTTCTTACACTGTAGAGACAAACTGCAAAGAAGGGAGGGAGACATAGATCTTTCCTGATTGTACGAAGTGTGATAAAATGGTGTTTCAGTAACAAAAGTATGGCAGCAGAAATCCACGTGAAGAATTTGCTTGGGTAGTTGCATTAGGTGCAGTAACTTAAAGCTGTGCGGAACAGAGAGCTCCCTCTTGTGGGATGAGACTCAGTTCACTGCCTTTCTGCCCAACTGGCCGGCTTGCTGCATCCCTAGCTTCACTCTTCTAACAGAATTTATCCAAGAGGCAGGTCGTCTTCTACAGGATGGGGAGGAGCAAAGGTGGTCAATGTGAAATACAGGTCACATTTCTTCCAGGTCATATCATGTCACAGCAAGGCTGGGCTCTGCTGAGTTGAATGTTGTCTTTGTCCTCTCCATAGACTCTTTCTTATTTACTGATCCCCCAGCTCCACAGCTGCTGACTTTCAGACACAGGGGTGAGGCCAGTCTCCTGGAGTGGGCTGTTCTTTTGCCTGCCTATTTAGAATTATGCATCAGATTTTATTATGATTTCATGTATTAACAATAACGCTAATTTTTGAAAAGATTATCATTTTAAACACAATACAATAATATAAACTCAGAATAGTTTGTTAAAACTAATGGTTCAGAAGTGCCTCAAACCCTTTTTTTTTTTTAACTGAGCAATAATAACTAGTGTTTCTAGAATATATATATTTTTTCTGACAGTAGAAACAATAACCATTGTAACACAAATGTTCTACAGATTAAAATGCCATTTATTTCTAAGTAAATACGATGTCCTTACAGACCCACATTTTGTTGAGCTATAAGAGTATTTGGACTTTTATCACCTTGTTAATTAGGAAAGGGAAATTCGGAGCAACAATCGTGGTTTCTCTTAGGAACTAGGTACAAAATGATTAGGGAAATAAGGCAAGCTCCTACTATCATGGAGGATAAAGGTGTGGAATTGCCTGCTTGAAGACTGGAAACATGAATGAAGAACATATGGGCTGGAACAAATGTATGAAACTGAGCTACACACCAGTCCTGGGGAAGCTGGGATGTGTCTCTTGGGTCAAACAAGATCCCTGGCACAGATGTAATCTCCTGTAAATGTTTGTAGATTAAGTGAACAAAGATTAGTTTGGGACTAGAATTGTGGGTCGAATAACAGCTGGCTCAGATCAAGGTTGAAAAAGTATGTTTTGTAATTTTTGACTTTGCCAGTAGTTTGGGGCAAGGGTAGTGGTTATGTATTGGCACTAGGAGATAAGGTATAAAAGGATCTCACAGAGATACAGTCCAAGTCCCAAGCCAGCCAGATCACATTTCAGTTTCGAAGGCAGTGTCACAGTAGGGTAGCGATGCAGGCCATTTATCGTCCACTTGGTTTCTTAGACACAGACCAGCTCTATTGACTATACACAGACTGTTATTTATTTATTTTTTTCAGTTTTCCATTCATAAACATATACTTTTGGTTGAAATGTGATCCAAGAGATTTGTAGGCAATTCAGTAAAAACTCATGCCTACTAATGGAGAAAATATCAAAGCAGCCATCTTGATAAATTAAATGGCCATCTTGTGCATTAATGACTATCTGGCAAAAAGAAAGTTGAGCTACTGTTCCTAAACTGAGTACATTTATTTCCTCCTAGTCAGCTAAAGAAAGAGGCTGTCTTGAGTCTTTGCCAGTTTGGCCTCATTAATTGGTCCCATCAGACTGGTGAGCTCCTCCTCAGTGTGGCTCAACAAGATTATACTCCATAAGCAAACAGTGCTCTAGGAAGTGATTAGAACATTTTTTGTTTAGGCAAAGTATCCCCCTGTTCTGTACTACTCTCTTCAGTCCTTGTCATATTGGTTTGAACAAGAACATTAAGCACCTGATAATCAGTCTCAAATCTCTTGATTTGATTCCAATTATACTGTCTATAGTTGAATATATCACAGGATAACAATTCCAAATCTGAGAGGAAAAGATAATTTTATATTTATTCTGAGTTGTTAGGAAAATATTAAAATGTATATAAGCTCAACCAGGACAAAACCTCAGGTAAAAAAAAATATATAGTGTTCTCGTTGGAGAGAAAAATGTACAGTATTGTTTTTTCTCCATGCTTTTTTTTTTTTCCATGTCAGAACTTTTATTAGACAGAAACTTTTGGCTTTATTTCCTGCCCCTCTGATCTACATCTCCTAGCCCATTTTGAAGACAGTCAAATTCGTCTTCATAAAGAGTCAAGTTGATCATTAGCACTCTCCCCTTTAGTAGTTCCCCATCATCTATGGAACAGAATTCTAACACCTTGGTTTGTAACTGGGCATTGATGACACAGTATTAATCCCATTATCATTATTATCTCTACCATCATCATCATAAACATGTGCTGAACATTTAACATGTGCCCAGCACTAGGCTTGGTTCTTTATCTCATTTTATCCTGTGAAGAAGGGATATTGTTATCCTTATATTAGAGGTGACAAATCTGAGGCTTAAGGAGGCCATCACTTATTTAAGTAACATTTAAGGTCATGCAGTTAGTAATCAAGCTGGAACCCAAAGTTCAAATAGTACCAGCCCAATTTTCTCTTCCAACCCGCTCCCATACTTCCTCTTAGACCAGACTTTCTTTATCATTGTCCCCTGAATTGGCCTCAACATTCCCACGGCTACACTTTTGCTGTTATCTACTACAACTCAGAATGCCTGATACTTTTCTTTTTATTCTTCTAAAATCCTGACAATTTCCAATTTTTTTAAAAAAAATTTCAAATCTACTATGGAAACTAAATTCACTTTAGGAAATCACAACCTGATACCAAAAGCAGACCAAGAAATTATAAGAAAATAAACCTGCAGCACAATATCCTTCATAAATATTAATAGTAAAACACTCAGCAAAATAGTGCCCAGTCAAGTATAACAATATGTAAAAAAGTAATATATCATGGTCAGGTATGGTTTACCTGAGGAATGCAATGTTATTTCAGCATTCAAAAATAAATTAATATAAATCACCATAACAAACTTAAAAGGGAAAACCATATGATTATCTTAATAGATACAGAAAAATCATTTGGAAAAAAAATCAATCCTCAGTAATGGTAAAAACTCTCAGTAACATAAGACTAGAGAAGAAATTC